AACTTTAGAACCATGACACAGATGTCGGAATGATTGGACAGGGAATTGAAAAAGATTAAATATGATCAATTGTAATCATTAATATGTTAATGAGATGAGTGGAAAAAGTACACAACATGCAAGAAGAGATGACTAATGTAAGTAGACAGATGGAAACTCTTAAGAAATAATCAAAAGAAATAAAAAACACAGTAACAGAAATGGAGAGTGTCTTTAATGAGCTCATCAATAAACTCAACCTAGCTGTTAGGAAAGAATCAGTGAGCTTCTATATAGGTCATTAAAAAATTCCCAAACTGAAATTCAGGCATTAAAAAACAAACAATGGCAACAAAACAGAACAAAACATTCAGAAACTATGCTAAAATTTCAACAACTATAACATACTCATAGTTGGAATATCACAAAAAGGAGAAAATGAGAACAAAGAAACTATTTGAGATAATAATGGCTGAGAACTTTCCAGATACTAATGTTAGACACAAACCATAGATCCAGAACGCTCGGAGAACATCGGAAGGATAAATTTATAAAACAAAGAACAACAACGGAAAACACACCTACTCACATCACACTCAAACTGCAGTAAACCAGAGACAAGAAGAAGCTTGAAAAAAAACCAGAAAAGGAAATAAAATACACTACCTTAACTACCGATAAATAATAGACAAAATAATCTTTTAAATAAGAAACACTGATCATATCACTATATATATATTTTTTAAATTAACTCTATAATGGTTTCCCATTGCTCTTGAAATCAAGTTACATTACCTTACTGCCATCAAACACGCCTTGAATACTCTGGCCCCTGCCTTCCCCTCTGGCCTCTTCTTCTTCCATGAAACCTTTAAATTCTGCCTTCTCACCTTGCGCCCTCCTTTCTGTTCCTCTAGAATGCCCTGGCCTTTGACATGGGCCTGAGCTTCTGCACGTTCTATTTTCTAGTTTAGTATTGTCTTTCCTTTTCTGGTGACCCCTTTAACTTTTCCCCTTATTTCTTTAGGGAAGCCTTACCCAATCGCACTGGCTAGGTCGATTGCCCTATTATGTTCATTGTAGACCTTGACCTATTGTGCTGTTAGGTTAATTTGTAATCTTATTTTTAAATATCTCTTAGAGAACTTATCTGGTTTTGCTTGCATCCCATCCACACCTCCACAGTGCCCGGCACAAAGTAGGTACTAAATTCATGCTTACTTGATAAATGAAGGAATGGTTTTTTGATAAATGAAGGAATGGTTTTTTAAAAAAATTACCTTAATAAATTACAGATCATTAGGGGAAGAGTTTCAAGAAGTCTTTACTAATTCATTAAAAACAATTTAATGAATTCCTAGGCACCCTTTTACATTTTTGAGAGAAGACAAACAGGCCCTAATTCTTATAGTTCACTAGGGTATACAGTTGTGTTAACATATGACAGAGGTATGCACAAGACCAGGTCATAGGTGTCTTTAGGGAAGAAGTTCTACAGACGGTAAAACCTAAGCTGTCCATACCGCAGAGTTAGTAGAATATGCCCTCCCGGGTGCAGGAATCTTTGCTATCTTAATTTATGTGTTCCCAGCGCCCCCAAAAGTACCTGCCGTTTAGCACGCATTCAATAGTAAGTCAAGGAATAGGAGTTAGCTATATGAAAAAGAGGTGAACAAGTGACGAGGAAAAGATTCCCGTTGGAGCAAAGAGCATGTACAATTGCCCAAACTGACAAAATGTTTTATGTCTGTGCACCTTCAACCTGGAATATGAAAATGGTGTCTTTTAGATTCTGGAGCCTTTCACTGAGAAAAGGACTTGGGAAAGGAAAGGTTGGGGAGAGGGTTGTGAGTTTTGGACGTATTCAATCCATGATATATTCAGGTAAGCAAAACAATCTGTAACCCCCTCAACAATGT